AAAAAATTCTTCATTTTCTCACCCTAACCCTAAATTTTATTAAAAGAAATTATACATAGGTGCTAAAACACCATAGGCGCGTTTTATAATAATTCTATATATATATTATTATTCGTGTAAACTTATTTAATATTCCCAAAAATTTCAATAATACATATACATATAACACGCGACTTACCATTTGAGGATTATGCATAGCCAGTTTCACCAATCACTGGAATGTGTATCCTCAAATTAGGATCTCTGAAGAAATTGCCAGTTTAGGTGTAGTATTATAAAAGCCGGCAATTTTTTCGAGACCAATTAAACATCCTGCTTCCAGTAGTACGCGTGAAGACCTTTACAACTAATCATTTTTATTTGTTTTCAAACCTATAATGATAATATCCTGAACCATTGAGTATTAGCGAAAACAAAGTTTTCACTCGTACACAAACGGTTCAAGTAATTATTCATTAATCCCCTGATCTTGACATAGTGATCGGGAATTAATTGATTCATTTCACTTATACATGTGTTAAAGCCAAGGAACAAAAATTATTTGTTTAAATTAACTCCAAAAATGCATTATCGTGTAGTGTATTTGATGACACCATCAATAACCATAGCATCGACCCCATATCTTTCTTGGATCCGAATATTACGAGGATCATTATTCGCGGATCCAAACGTAGTTAATATTAATCCAGCTTGCTTAACGTTAGTTATTAATGATGGAACATGAACCTGGATAAAACCATTTCGCAAAGAATATCAAGGTTAAATATCTTGTAAAAAAAAAAAAGTGCGTTACTGGTACATGTACTTACCAATAATGTGGCCTCAAAAATGACACCTAAAAGGTTATTTATCTTTGCAAATTTGACTGCTTCCTTAATAGACGTACAACGCTTATCTTGTTCAATTTCTTCTCCATGTGTCGCGTCGTCCCCTTGCTCCTTACGTTTTTTACCATAATTGATTGTTTTGTTGTCAAATCCACAATATGAATTGAAAAACACCGCGTCTTTAAAAAAAAAAAAAAAGTAAATCTAAATGTAAAGATATATTGTAATTTATATTTTAAATAACAAATTTACTTTTAACTTACAATTTGGCTGTTTCCAATTCAAAGTAGTACAAATTGCTGGATTAAATGACGAAAACATCACAGATCGATTGGAAGGTGGTTTACCGTCTCCATTATTGGTGGTGTTACCTTGCGCATGATCATATACAGTTTGAAGAATTGTATCTACATAAGTGTTGATGTCGGGAATGTCAGAGAACCAATATCGTGACATTTCGAACACGGTAGGATATTTGATTTCAAGATTGACTCCAATAGATGGTGGCAATTTCTAAGAAAAAAAAAACCGAGATAAATAAATAAAATAAAAACAAATAAACATTGATCTTAATATTCCTCCAACCTTTAAAACTTCCTCTAAAGTAAGATATGCTTGGTGGACAATTTTCTGTAATTCTGCAGAGTTTGCTGCATTATTGAAATCTAGTTCCTCTTGTGACTTACGACTTAATGATTTAAATTGTTTAACTGTAACATCGGATACACTTAAATCAAATCCTTCGACTGGTAACATCCATTCTGAATACACAACAGCAACCATATCTCTGGTCACTTGTACTACGATCTGGATATACTCCCCTGATAATGAAGAACTAGTTATGAATGATGATATGTTCCTACTATTAGTTCCTCCAGTACTTGGAGATTGGTCACCAACGGATCCAGGGAGTGATACTGTATTGGTAGATTTCCAATAAGTTTCTACTTGCCCTCCAATTTCAAGTTGTACACCTTGAAATGGTTTCACAATAGCAAATTCAAATGATAATTCTCCAACGACTTTGAGATGTGTATCAAATACAGGACAGATACATTTCCCGCCTGTCCCTTCAGTCACCAAATTATTCCTTCTTTCGCGACCGTTGGTAAAGTTAAATACGTGTGGTAATGCAACTCCTTTGCCGATAACTTTTGATCCGAATGTAGGAAAGATATCAAACTCAAGTGAAAGTTTATTAAGGGTATCTGTTTGAAAAGAAAAAACTTCTCGATCATCACCCAATGGTAATATAATGTTATGAGGAATTATTCCTGTATCTGGTTTAGAGGACATAATAAGTTTTAATGATGAAATTTGACTGTTTCCGTAAAGATGTACGGGAGGTCTTCGAGGTTTAGTTGATAAATGTCCAAGTGTTAATTGAACATGATATTTCTTATCCAAGTAATTATGTCCTTAAATGCGAAGAGGTATA